CTAGCTTTACCAACCTAATATCGCATCATACCTTGCGCATTTCACTAATGAACTGCAACCTCATGACTCGGTAGGAAACTTTCACAAAGGCATGAGTAGTACATACGCGCTGAAGGATTCCACAAATCTAGGTTTACGAAAAAATGTTCTTCCTATATGTTCTCCTTTATCTATTGATAGTTAAAAGCCTAATATTCCCAAATGACATTTTTGTAGTCAATCTTAATAGATTTTAGGTTATTCATGTCTTTCCGTGTTGATCTTTCTTCACGCGATCATACTGCACTGGCAAGAATTGGCTCGGAAAATATCAATATCGGAAACATTCAGCAATAAGCGGCTGCCACTTAATTTCTTCTGTCACAAATTTGTTGTTCTATATTGGCCCACTAGTCTAAACTTCGAGTCATACTAGGTTATGTAAATGGACGATTTGTCCGTTTTCATGCCCATGTACAGCGTAGAAATGGGCGTTTACAAAAAAATATTTTAGTTATATTGCATCAGGTAGTTACGTATACTTGGTAACAACAGAAATACGGTTGACTGCATGTAGTGCATTTCATGTGGATAACAGAAGGAAGTAGTCCACGTTACAGTCACAGCGGATCTAACAGACCAAAGGTGCTGAAGAATTGCGGGACGGGGGTATGTATGGACCTGATTGTGTGAACTGCATTCTGTAGGATTTCGTTGGGTTCCGCATAGCACTACATTTCAAATGTGATAAAACTGTGAATGATCTGTTACAAAGTACACCTCAGAGCTGTTTCGCTTTTTTGTATCTCCGGCGAGAGTCGACCCCACAAAATCAAGGTTCTGCAGTCGGAATCTTTACCCCTTCTTGAAATCAACGGTCATCACGCCACAAGTCAGCCGTCCGCTGCACATTTTAGCCATCACATGTAAAACCATTCTGTCACCGGAACCGACGTTGTCTGCCTCAACAGCTTGTCATTTTGAGGTCCTTCAAACATTGGAAGCAGGATAATTTTAAAAAGATATGATAACACTAACCTGGAAGTTCCAGCGACTTTCAATTTGAACAGTTGCAATAATTGAGCCCAAGGGAGCGTACCATGATGGCAACGGTGTTCTTGACATTCACTTTCATAGTCATGCATTTTTGTGAATAGATTTGGCTTAATCGAGTAACTGGATTGGACGTGACCAGGAATAAACCATAAAACCAGCAAGGTTCACATCGAGATGCTATTCAGCTGTGTAAATAGTAAGCAGACTATGATCCAATGCACCGAACGTAAAATATTAAACCATCTTTCCAGCTGCCTGTCTCGGCGGTATCTTCAACACATCAATTGAACTGACACAAAAGTTCATTTTTATTGTTTCACTTGATCCAAATGGCAAAACATTTTAGTGGGACAATAAAGTGGATCTTGCTGTAAAAGATCTTTGATCTCCGTCGAGTTTCCGTGAGTTTCGGGGCAACTGGGATCAAGCAGCATGAATAGCCCACTTAAGTGTGGAGCTCAAAATCAAAAGATAACGTGTACTGGCTACTGTCAATTATATCTTCTGTAAGGTGAACAAGATAAATTGGTAAAGGAAAGAGAATGAGAGGACATCGATAAACGCAAACGTTCTGTGAAGGTAGGTTGTCTAAACAAACTGAACCATTTGAATAAATTCCTCCATAGTCTAGTGAGTAGCAAAATTATGTTATGTAAAATTAATATGGTTCCGAGTTCGATCCCCAGTCGAATCAAGGCATTCACACAGCGGATGAGATACAATTAGGTCAAAACAGTTATGCAATACTTATTAGCTTTCTAATCAACAACTTGTTCACCCACTGCGGACCTTCGTTTTTGTTTAGTCATTCTGTCAATCCCGCATAATACAACACTAATTAGTAATTTATATTGCCACACATAAACAGGTGGTTTGTTCAACTGTATCCATGATTATCCATTCTTCTTGTACCCGTTGAACTCTTACTCATCTGAAATCAACCACCGAATACACAAGTGTCTGTACTTTTGTGATGTATTTCCTGAAAAACTGGGGTAAGTTTGGGCAGTTGACTGATATAATGCATCGATGCGTTGAGATGAATTTAATATAAACTATCATGGTGTCTGATAAACGAACTACGATCCATTGTACGAAGAAATCCGGATAATATCTTAAATTTACTGGGTACCATTTTCCCCATAATCGACCTATATTCTCAGGGTCGACACATTATGACAGTTTTTTTACACAATTAGTATATACGGGATCTCTATGAGCGAGAACTTTCAATTTTCGCTTTCATTACATTGGTACGGTGTTGCGCCTTTATGCTTCAACGCAGACCTTCGGTAGCGTTTACTGGTACATCTTCTGTGTTACATTATTTCAATTCACGTCTATCGCAACCACAAGCATTTTGGTTTAACCGGTGATAACTTGGTTCCTCACGGGCTACGGGATCCGGTTAGAGAGCCATCAAAACTGGCCGTAGTCGGCGCACTATATAACAATCAACATTTAAGTTAAGAACTAACAAGTGACCATAGTGAACGTTCTAAAACGCCGAACTACTCTATTGAAATTGTAGCTCGAATGCCATTTTTATTTGTCCCATTCGTCATGAAGGTTTAAGAACCATTGTATGAGTACTTTTGTCTTTGCTAACTGGATACTTTTTTGAACAAACCGTTTGAAAAACTATTTCAACCTTCGCCTGTTGCAAATCTTGTTTTGTGTTTTTTCGAACCCCTACCTCGGGAAGGCGAAATGAGATTCATGACTGAGCATATTATCTAAAAGACATAAAATCTTTGAACCGCATTTTATCATTCGTCTCCGCGAAAAAACCAAATGCGTCTTTTGTGAGTAGCAAATAGGCTTTCTGCTAGCTTCAACCAAATGCGAACTTGTTGGGATCCAACGTGAACTCGTTGTCAGTATATCATGTTCGTCCCTTTTTGCTACAATTATTTTGCTTTCGTTTTTTGATAAACCTTAGTGCAGACCTAGTAAGTAACTGAAACACATTTAGCGAAAAGCGGATGAAGCAAGTTCAAATCAAACTATCGGAAATTATTACAGGAAATCTCTTACATAAGTGGGAATCTTCCTTGTTGTGGTTTGACAATGAAAAACCTAGTTAGGTACCTTATCCCGTGACCAACATCTTTATTGGACCCACAAAGCCCTCAAATTTTTTTCTGAATAACCGTAAATGCAAGCACCTCCCGCATGTTAAGCATATAGAAGGAAGCAAAAAAAACAGGTTTTTCCACTTGTGGATAGTGTGGTTACCCTCATACTAGATTGACGAATTTGGAAACACGCATTATTTCTGACGTCTCTAAACTACCGTAAGGGAAACATATTTATCAACAACTGTCCGTTTTCGTTTTTACCACCGAATATTGCATTCTTGCCGAATTCTCTCAAAGAGCTTCCAAAGTCTTTCATCTAGCTACTACACGGAAAGCTCCTGAGAATTACATCACACAGTGGGTTGTGAAACTGTTGCTTGATATACGTTTTCACGTGCAATGGTCACCCTCTTTAAATGGTTTTGTCTTTGCCGTCACGTGCAAGATCAGTGTAATCGATCGTTTGTCAACACTCGACTATCTGCCCATTCCCATAGTATGTGCTACATAAGCCACTGAACAGTCGGGTCGGAAGGAACGATCCCTCGTCATTTATAAAGCACATTTTCACATTGACGGGTGTGGTTTCGACTCATGTGTTCATCGTCTCGCTCGTGTTATTTCTTGTCTATTTCTCCAGTGAAATCATGCTTTTTCATTTTGAAGCCATTTGCTCCTATTCACCGTGTTTCGTGCTCAGCCACTGCCCGTCAAAACCCGTGCATCCCAATGTGTATCACACATTCAAATGAACAAAGCCATGCGCAGAGTATCGGGTGACATTGCACGTGATGAAGATGAAACCTACGTGTTTCGTATCAAGTAAATTCATAGAAAACAATCTTATTCTGATAACGCTGAATTCAGATGACGAATTTGAAACTTCATTCAAACTAATTGGGCGAACCCATATTTCAGGGGCTGCCCACTCTGAATATCCCGGGACAGTCGGATCCGTGTTCGAGGTAGCATATTTTGGCAACACAATGAATCAGGATGACATCAAGATATTTTCAGTACTTATCCCCCACTCAAGTCATAAATACAGTAATATTCCCAAGGAAATAAGCATTGTGGACGGGGATTTCAACTGTTAGAGGGTGCATTGTGCAAAATCGTGGGCGATGTCCACGCTTGGGTTCGAATTCCACCACGGTTGATGGTCTTTTCACAATTCAAACTTGATAAACAAAGCATATTTTCAAATTTATAACCGAAACCATTACCAACCCAAATCGAAAATAGCTAGATATTCAAATCACCTCAAATTTCTCTGTGATTCAAATTACATGCGTAATTGCACCTAGGATACAGTCAGACAGAAATCAAGACACGTGATGTTTCGATGCACGTGTTGACTGTGTCATAATTTCCAGGTTTAACTCCCGAATTCATATTGAGTTACCAATTCTATCGTGACGTTCAATTGGCTTATTAACCTGCTATTGCCGAGATCTTATTTATCAGTGAAATCAAAGGCTCCAGCAGACCGCAATGTATAAACATTTACGCGTCTATGCATGAAATTGTATGTGTGTGTGTGTGTGTGTGCGCTTGCGGGTGAGGGGGGGAGTGTTTATGCACGCCTGCGTGCGTGCGTGCGAGCAAACGAGCGAGCGAGCATTGAAATGTGTTCAGCCCTGTGAGAATACACAAGTGTGCAGCTTCCCTGGAGTAGCCTTTGATCTCTCAGCCTCATAATATCGTCAATCACCGAATCCTCTACACCCCTATGGTGATACCCACTAGCCTGCAAAACGATGTGTGGCGCAGTATGCATATGCAGGCACCTATGCGAATCAGAGATAATATAAATACCGGGATTTTTGTGACAATAGGAGTCTTTTCAACCGTAGAGTATATACTCAACATACTCAAACCACAATGAGTTTAGTTACGGTCGAATATGAACCGGTTGGATGTCAGGCTCGTTATGAGAACACGCTCCACAGATGGGCCGATAAGATGCGCCTAACTCGTTTTCCATTGTTACGTGCGTGTATCGGTGAATTCTTCGGTACAATGGTTATGATCATATTCGGAGTGGGTGTTGTGGCCCAGGGAAACTTCACTGAAAATCACTCGTTTTTCTCCATCTCTTTTGGATGGGGCACAGCGGTCATATTTGGCTTATTCATTTCCGGAAATATGGGCTACGGCCTGATGAATCCAGCCATGTCACTGGCTTTTGCCATTGTCGGTAAAGTACCGTGGATCCCAATTTTTCCATTGATGCTGTGTCAAGTATTCGGGGCCTATATCGGAGCGCTTGTAGTCTACGGAATCTATGAGCAAAACATTAAAGTCCTATACAATGGGGTACTGAATATGGAATCGGGAGTTATTTTTGTCACCGGTCCAACTGTGGGTAACTGGCCAGCCCTGATGGATCAAATAATCGGCACAGCCATTTTGGCCGCTCTGTGTCTTGCGTTCGGCGATCAAAACAATTTCAAAGTTCCGGCCTTTTTATCACCTATCTATGTCGGTTTCTTGGTCCTTTCTTTGGTCGGTGCTCTGGGAGTAAACGCCGGAGCAGCTCTGAATCCCGCCCGTGATTTCGGACCACGATTGGCCTTAGTCACTGTTGGTGAGTAGCGAAATATCCAAATGAGCCTATTTGATGCTTACTTAATGTTTTTTAAACATTACCAAATCTCACCTGGTCAGTATTTTCAAAGCAATCAACTTATGTCGGCCTGCTTTTATCCAAAATGTTTTCGTTTTGAATACATACTAATTTAGGTTATGGAAAAGAAGCGTTCACTCACGAGAACTACTATTTCTGGATACCTATCGTCGGACCATTCCTCGGTGCAATTATTGGAGCTATCATGTACGAGCTGACAATCGGGATTCATCTTCGAGGAGTTGCTGAAGAACAACGCTTGGATGCAGAGAAATATGATTACGATGACGAGTAGGAAACTTGTTGATCAATTAGCGCCTCAGGCATTCACTCCCTCTATTTCCTTGTTCCCGTTTTCCGGTGTTAATCAGGAGAAATGAGGTCAATGCATTCAAAATCACCCTGCTTCTGAGAATCTGCACCTCTCTCACACACACACACAAACTCCCACAATGACTGCCCCGTGGTTATTTTTTTGTAAACCATCCATGATGTAAAAATAGAGGAATGTTACTATCCAATTTTTTGGGTACACCTGTAATGTGCACATTCTTCCATGTGATTTTGAACAGTATTTGCCTGTATCACAGGGATCCATCCAATGTACCTAAACCCCAAGTAAACCTTCATTCAGTCGCGAGATTCTATTTGATTAACCATATTGTTTTCAAATACAGATGTTACGTTCTAAGTGGATGTGAATACTGGTTTTTGGTGTGTGGTTTAGTGGATTAGACGAGCGATTTGGGAGACAACGATTTCGGCAGAATAGTCTACTAAAATCGATAATGCAGCACCTGACAAATCACAGTAAAATGAGCACATGGTTTGCCGATATATCATGATGCTGGACTGGAATTAAACTAGCATGCTCTGCACTTTTGAGAAAGCTGTCCGTCAGGTTACTGGGTTTCTATCGCAGCCTTTTACGAGCAACAAATATCAATATAAATGTGAACTTCTGCTAAAATCCATCATGTCATGGAATACATACCCAGCGATTTTAACACTTGGTTGGAGTTGGTAATCGTGAATGACTGTCATCATTATAACTCTGAAAAGTCTATTATTGTACTTGACTCTAACTGTCACTGTGGACTTAGGTTCAATCCTCAGTTGGGTGGATGGATTCGCATTGCTGATGACAACAGGCCCATATCTTCCATAACTTCCATTGTCTGTACTAATAAAAGTTATAGACGTTACCTTCAGCTGTCATCGCGTTAACTGATCTTTGACAAAGTAGTATCCATTCAGAGCTATGCATACTAAACAAGTATCCATCCTTATTTCCATTGTTAACGCACTTTACCTGATGAGGTGCTTGGATGTACACATGATACATTGCATATTTAATTACCCATCTAAAAATGCTCATCTTTTATTGAATCAGTGCAGTTTTCCTATCAGTTGCACTGATATTTCCATGAAGTAAGTCTACTGCTGATTACGGAGCTGGAATAGAATATCCTAATATCTTTTTCGAATGGGATACACAACCCGGGTTCATTGTTCATCGCTGGTTGCTTCTAACCCCCATGTTCGGGCAACGTTCGCGGACTCCAAGTACACTGTTGTGTAAATATACCCCAGTCAAAATTATTTCTCTATCTTATCTTTTACTCTGCTCTCGCGACCTTCTAATATTTCTTCTGCTCTTTTATCCAAATGGACAGTCAAAAGACAGAAAATAAAATGGGTGCAACAAAATGCATGGTAATGCTTGTAAAATCCGAAATCGAAGCTAAAAGATTTACTCGCTAAGGTTGGTTATATTCTTCACTCAATAGACTGTATCTGGCCAGTTGAATTACCACCGAAAAAGAGCTTTTTTGCTGGCCTGCATTCGAATGAATTACAAGTGCCTCTGTTGAGGATGATACACATTTTTGAAATGCACTGTGTCCAGTCTGAGTTGTGCCGATAAACATTGTATCGCTGTGATAAATCTGAGTTGAGAGCTCAAAACAGGATTGCATCATGAAGGCAACTGTTCCTCAAATAGGAGAAATTCTCTGATCAATATTAAGACATCCGTGGATCGAATACTGCGCTTATCTCTACTTAATATACCTTAGAGCATCCGGTACAAAGCTATCATTCATTGTAAAATCATGGATAACTGTGAGTTATTCGCACCACCACAGGCCACACCCATTGAACCATAAGGTTGCAACAGATATAAGAAATGATGCAACAAACATGATAAGATATACGACGAAGCTGAGTAAGAAAGGTGAAGCTGTGGGTGATAAACGGTGAACATTGGCATGGTGGATAGAATGCAATAATCATTGCGGGAGCTACAGAGCAAAAATGTAATTTCTGTTGGTTGTTAAGTGCGTTCAAATTTAATCTTGCTATTCAGGTGAAATACTGGTATTTCCTTCATTGTATCCGTATACCATTGTTAAGTATCTTGTCAAGTGTGCCCTTCAATGTCAGAAATGTATAGGCAATCGCATTTGGCTCAAAGGAATCGGGCCGATTTATCGACCCATTTTGACGCGATTCGTTTCTATTTGGTCCACCGAGGTCAATTACCACGGAGTGTTTTTGTTCTCGCCTAAAGTTCACATGAACAACGGTCAAGAACATAACGTACCCAGGTGGGGCTAGGGAGGGATGAACAGCCAGCCCCCACCCCACCGAAACTTTCGTCCTCACTCGATAACTCACTCAAAAATTGCTTTTCTTTGTCTAAGGAGAAATAACTTCACTCCGACTGGACGGGGTTCAGACAGACTGCGTCCAACTGATGACGTGTGTCGGTAGAAGAACAGATCACTTTGTGGGATTCCTATAGAATGAGTTTGGTTGAAGTGACTTGAAGTTACAACGGATTAACTTGAAATTATGGTGGATTCACTTAAAGATGAAAACGTGTAGTTTATGACGGAGGGATTCAATCAATCATGTTTTATTGTTTGCCTCAAATTCAGAATCCACTATACAAATATTTTTGTTAACCTTCGATGGATAATCAGGTAGCGAAATTTGATGAGGTTCCATTAAAGTTTGAATACTGGGGGAAAATATGACTGCCACAAAGGGCTACCAGTAGTGCCGAAAATACTGTCCAGGTATAATGTGATGAAATCAAAGGCGAAACAAGGTGCAGAACAAGTTCATATTGAAGAAGAGGATTTAACAAACGGATTGATTACATTCAGCGGTTAGAATGGCTTGACTGGATCGCATTCTTTCTAGACATGTTCCAAAAAGGCAAACCGATCAGTGAGTGACCGGGTTCCAAACTACGCTCGACAGAGAAATGCGCGCAGCATGGTGCGGCGTATGAAAATTGATGCACCCCAGGGTTTGGTTCACTACTTTTACCTAAGCTGTGCAGAGGCCGACTTATCCAATACAAAGCAAATGCCGCTTGGGATTGTTATTTGTGATCGTTATGCCCATGCGGTAGTGAGTAATCTTGCATTCTACTGCTGCTCTAATTTTGGAATACACCAAGTGTTGTTTTTGCTAAAAGAAATGATGTTTAAACGTAATTTTGCGTCGTTCACGCGAACTCACAGAGGACAAAGTACATGCGTTGTAAATTCATTGCCCCACAACCTGCTTGGGGTGATGTTGGCATGGACGAAATTGCGGATAATTGATAATGGATAACTGGGTCCACTTTCACCAGATTTGTTGTTGTTCCGGAAATTAGTTGACATGTCACATCCTGGTGCACGTTGAGGCTACCGCATGTCACACCACATTTTCCACAGTGGATCAATTTTCATCCACAGCGCTTATTCACACACCGCAGAGTTCATTATGCGCATTTGGAACGCTACTTATCCATGATGGAGTTATGCTCGATATGATCACTATTCAAAGCGATTTCACGTGTTTGATTATCAATAGTTTTGAAATCTGCCTGTGATCCTGTTGACGGAGCACTGAGTATGTTTATGGTGATCGGTGACTGAGCAGTTAACCATCATTTATGAGAAATGTCACTACTTTTCAATAAAATGTTTTACACACAGTCACCGCTAGTCTGTTAATGTATGAACAGAAAACTGGGAAAGCCAATACAGGGTGAAATTTCGAACCGCAATATGGATTGACCTACGGCTTGACCATGGAGCGAAACATCATTCAAAATGTACTCATACTGCCCGTTCTCGTTACGTGACAGACATCCCGTTGTGAGCTGAGCATATGATTCACAATTATTCGAACAGTAATTGCACAAGACAAATTCACCAGTACTATTTAGATTCATTGTTTTAGGCGGCAATAATACGAGGTTACTTTACTGTGATTACGTCTATTTATCGATCCAACTCCAGTCGCATTCGCTCCAGACGATTCTATGTCAATTGTCCAGGTGTGTGAGACACAATACCGCAAGTCTAAGTTAACCATGACCAAGAAAATATGATAGTCAGAGATGTTAAGCAAGCGTGCAAGAAACTGAATATGGCAGTCATTTCCCTCCATAATGTAGTGCCAACTGTAATACTCATTTTTGTGGTGATAAGTCTGATGTACGAGTGGTTATTTATCTGTATTTGTTTGATGCCTCACTCCTTTGTAACCCGTTTTGAGTGTGAGAAACTTCATCACACAAACCGATCATCTGTTTCAGGTTCCAGTTTAAACAAACTTCAAAGTTTTGTCACATCTCACCTTCCTTTGGGCATCTTGTTTGAGATTCGCAACTATGTTTGGTGTACAGAAGTGGATCCGTCGTCGAACTATAAGCACTTTCAACATGAATGCTAACAATATCCAAATCGTCAGCATTGTGTTAGTTATAATTTTGTCACTAATACAAATTCCAACTGTTCGGATTCGTGAACTGGAATAATTTGGGCGGTAGGTTAGACAGCCTAGGATGAATAGCGTTCCACCGATGAAACTGAAAACAAGAGCATTCCTGAGGTCAATCAAGCATGAACTAGATCGTTCTTCTGTGGGTAAACGATTCAAGAAAAATGGTGAGTACAGCATACATTACTGAAGCGGAAACTCAGTAGGCTGAAATTGAAATGACATTTTTTCAGGCTCTTTGGTGTTCACAATGTGGTCATTGTGCAATGACAGAGGTTGAAGTTCATGAGGTGAACTTGGATGAATGGGCTGGCTGTCATCAATGGCTTAGCAACAAAACCATTTATACCTTAAGTGTAACTCGCCCATTCCTGGTTTAGCCCACAGAACTGAACGAAATAAAACGCAGTCGGTTCGTTTGATAAAAAGGGTTACTCGTTTTTATAAAAAATATTGTTGCGTAAGGAAGCTCGACAAATGACAACTTTACAGCAGACTTTTTTCCTAAGGTCGCGGTTAGCAAGCAGAATGAGCTCAAAATTGATGACCACTGTGGGGACTCTAATAATAAACTGTGGTAATCTCCCGGCAGAAATGCAAGATGAGTCGACGGAAACGAACATCAACATTTTTAAATTTGTTGATGAAGTCAGTGATAGTCAATTAGAGTAGCCGATAAATGGTCTGATGTTCGCATCACTTCAGTGCCAAAGGAAAAAAGGGGAAAGTTGGCCTATAGCTCCATCGTCCGAACTACTCAAGAATTCTGAGCGAACTATTTTGAGGTCCTTTCCTCTTCTGTTGATCCTCGTGATTGTAACCAATTCGTCTATTGATAGCGTCGCTCTACTGTTTCCGTTCAGTTCAGTTTTTACAACCATTAATCATTCAATTCCGTGCGTCGGTTTTGATTGCCGTGTTTTGGTCGCCCATTTGGATAGAAGAGCAGGATGAAAATTGGAATGTGGGAAGCAAATTCATCTAGAGTGATGTTCAGAGAATAATGGGTAGATGCATGAGCGGTACTGCTTGCGATACCCAGCCATATCGTTCAGTGTCCCTAACCGTCGGCGAGAATCATCTCGCTGTCCGCAGCCAGGGAGCCTAACGGGACCTATGTGAGCCATTCTCCCGTTTAGGGTTTTCATACCCTCACACTAGTTCTTTGTTTGACCGCCCTTGACCTTTTTCCAACCGCTACTGGTTCTCCGTCAACAAATAAAAGTATATTTGAGTGAGTACCGAGCGAAAATGAAAGTTTCGGTGGGGTGGGGTTTCACTATGCGTCTCATCGCCCCACTCGGGAATGTCCTCTTTGACTATTGATCGAGTAAGCTTTCGAAGAGAATGATCGAACCCAACCTTAGTTGACCTCGGTCAATCGGGTACATCAAAATGTATCGACAAATCGATCATCGTGCCCAGGCGCGAATGTGAGCATGATTCATTGAATGAATGGCCTCATTCTACGCCCTCACTATCCTAGTGACTAAATTCCATTGATACCGTGATTCCATCAAATAACACCAACTCTATTGAATCAAATGTGATTGCCTAAGTATATCTTACATTGAAAGACATGCTTGACAAGACACTTAACAACTATATACAATGATACAGTGAAGGAATTAGCAATAGTTCACCTGAAAGACACGATCGAATTTGAACCCATTCACTAGCTAACATTAATTACATATATTCTATGTACTCCCCAGACTGACTACTGTGTTCTATCTACATTTCCAATGGCAATAATCTACCACCTCCAACTTCTCTGTTCGCTACTCACCTTTGTAGTCTGTTCTCAACCTTATTGCATCAATGATTAACCTATGGCATATTTTTACAGCCTAATTGCCTCTGCTCTATCCTCAAAGTTTGATAAATGAGACCGGTGATGATAGGAATAACTCACAATAGTCCGTAGTCTTACAAACGATGTCAACTTTGAACCAAGTGTTTCATGCGGTATTGATTCGAATCAAGTACATTATTCCATTCACTGTTGTCCTCTGATGCTGATCAGCGACTTTCTCCTACGCGCCGATAAATTCATGAAGAATCCCGGAAAGTTTTACAAAATGACGTTCCCGATATCGCTGAACCTTTTCTGCTGTCCGCCACGCAGAGATGCGTCCGGCAACACTCAGCTACTGCGGTTTCCCTTGAAATGTTAGATTTACAAAATTCTAAATGTAATCCGATATATCGTATATTTTTCGTTCCCCAGTCGAGACATTACTAATGCAAAAGCAATATTCAACTGAGATGCATCTCCATTTAGACAACAGTAAGATCTGTCTAGAGTAGCACGTTATAATTGTGCGCCATTTTCATTCGGAAGATGACAAATTGTAATGTAAGATATTTTTCCGAAGTCATTAGGACAACTGTCCCTATTGTCACTATGCCGTTTTTACCCATGGTCTTCTTCCTATCCATCCAGTAGTACATGATACTGGAGGTCATTAAATGAAAAATCAACCCAGAAACGTTGAGGACAACCAGTTTATCAGGTGAAGGACAATTTGAAAGTGGATTCCTTTCGAATTCGCTCATCGGTCGCATATGCATGACATACAACCAAATATAAACAAATAACCATAATTTGAGTGAATCAGTAAAGGTGAGACATCTGGGGGAGGAAGATGCCTATATGCATATGCACGCCTACGATCTACTGATGTGATACGTGGCTGTTTTGAGGTAAAAGGTCGGTTTGTGTTACGATTGCGATCACAGGCCAGGTGGGCCCATGGAAAATCAATTAGGGAAGAGAAACGACTGAATGCTCGAAGAAGGTGAACTACAAAGCCGACTGTATGTTTTTCCCTCATCCTGCCCACTCTTTTCTCCGTCCCTTAGACTTGCTGGGTCGCTTTTTTTCTAAAGTCATTATAAGCAAATCGTAACGGATTTCCGATCTGACTTAGCCTCATGATGACATGCGATGGTTATGCATAACAAGGTATTAAATCACATGCTTTTGGGCCCAGTAAAAATTATCCCGTTTACTATGCTGCATCGCCAGCGCACACACGCATTCGGTTTATATGATTAGTTTGTGCGAAAATTAAAGTACCAAGTAGCGGGTGAAGCATAATTTTTTTTTAAGTACAAGCCAACTTGTATTTCATATCAAAAAAGGAATTTATAATTTGGCGGGAAGAAAACCAATAAACTCTCTCTCTTCTCAGAAATGAAGCCCGCATATCTTTGAACGTGACGAACGTCTACTACCACCACCCCAGTTCCGGCAGGTTACCAGACTGCTCCTTACTGTTTTTCTTTCACTCCCCTGCACCACGACTAACGCCCCAGAAACCGAGAGCGGGAATAACAGCATGCATGAGAGAAATTGAATGACACTTACTGTAGTATCCACTGTCACAATAGATGGACAAGGAAAAAGTAGTATTTGGTTAGCATTGTGAAACCTGTATCTGCCGAAGATACGTTTGGTTAACTAAGAGAAAATGAACGTAGGAGAGCTTGTAGGGTAATTTATGTATCATTGGTATTCATCTATGGCGATTGAGTTTAGCTGTTGGACAAGTTATAAGTAACTACAGTTCTGTATTGGCAATATCTGAATGGAATATTGTTGCATTATGACCTCACGGCAATAAACATGCCTGTTTTTGTGTGAGCTGGAATTAATGGGACCTCATGAGCGGTATCAGTGTAAAAGAATTAGCTGCGGTGCTAATGATGTGTATCAGAGAACGGCGGTAAGTCATGGCGAAGAAGAGAACAGGGCAAAATAATCAATGCACGAAGGAGATAGTGATATATTTTATCTACAAGTCACTTAAGTGACATTTCTCCTTCTCCAACTTGTGTGAATCCAAGACTCCGCGAAGATGGATCCCCACAGACAATTCGTACATGATAGCGCCGGCAATTGCACCGATAAATGGTCCGACAATGGGAACCCAGAAATAGTAGTCTCCGTGAGTGAACACTTGCTCTCCATAACCTGAAACAATTTATTCCAAATAAAGGAACAAGGAGAGGACGCGAAGAGATAAAAGCCAAGTGAGAATGTGATTAGCTGGATAATAATGGGCACATAAGTTTTGATAATGTCCGCAAATCGTGTAATACGGTAGTGATAAATTCAATCAGAACACATAGCTTCAGGACAACTTACCGATAGTGAATAAAGCCAGTCGTGGTCCGAAATCACGAGCTGGATTCAAAGCGGCTCCAGCGTTCACTCCCAGAGCGCCGACCAAAGACATGACTAGTAAGCCGACATAGGTCGGTGTCAAATATGAGGGAACTTTGAAGTTGTTCTCATCTCCAAAGGCAAGACATAGAGCAGCCAAAATAGCGGTACCAATTATCTGATCAATCAGAGCTGGCACATTGCCCACAGTTGGACCGGTGACAAAAATTAACCCTGATTCCATATTCAGCGCCCCGTCCCATTTCCATCTAATGTTTTCCTCGTAGACACTATAAACTGTAAGCGCTCCACAAAATGCGCCGAATACTTGACACAACATCAAAGGGAAAATTGGGATCCAAGGCACTTTGCCAACAATAGCAAAGGCCAACGAAATCGCAGGATTAATCAGGCCGTAGCCCATATTTCCAGAAATGAATAGGCCCATTGTCACGCCTGTGCCCGATATAAAAGCGTTTGAGAAAGTCGTGTGATTTTCAAGGAACTTCTCTTGGGCTGTAACAGCCAATGCGAATATGATCATAACCATTGTGCCAAAAAATTCCCCGATGCACGCACGTATCAATGGGAAACGGGTCAGGCGTATTGCATCAGCCCATCTGTGCAATTTCTGCTCATACCGAGCCTGAAAACCAACACGTTCGTATTGTACTGAAGCCAAACTCATCTTAGGCTGGAAAAATCCAATGTTTTCCACAAACCGAAACGATTGCATTTATAGCATTTTGGATTCCAGCAACTATCCGCGAACCCAGAATGTAAATCATAGAAGCTTACAGACCGATGGAAATCACCAGAGGGGTGTTGTGAACACAGTGGGTGAAGACTGTATGAGAGTGATAACAGGGCATGTTTTGCACATTATGGATGTCGCATCCGCGCGCAGACTTGCACACACTCGAACATACCCAAAACGCCCACTGGAAATCATGTGAATATGCAATCACGGACAGGCTCCCGTATTGTTTTCTTGTCTGTCGGAGTGTTTCATTTTCAGTTTTCAGCCAGCAGTTAGTGCCAGACTGAATGCTAGCACAAGGCCCATTAACGATTCACCGATCAAACGTGGAAATTGTGCCGCCGGAAACGTGTGCAAGACAAGATCAGTTGGGTAAAAAAAGTCATCTGTTTTGGTTTCTGAACGCCATAGCTGCTAACTTAGACGGCGTTTAGTGTCGCAGTTCAGGAAAAAACTAGAAGTAGATCAAGCATTCAGAATTCTTCTTACATGATAATGCATCGAAAATGAAACTAAGCAAACAACGTAATTCAAATGATAGGGGAGAATTTTGCTGGTACCACATAGACACTATACCGTTATTCTTCTACAATGTTTGTCATATATTTGCGTTCTCAGCGTGTCTTTCTCCTCAAACTTAACATATGCACTCATACAACTATTTAAATTTGAAGGTTTCACAACTTTTCACTAGTTGGGTCAATCAAACATGTTTGTGCTCACCGCCAAGCGTTGGTGGTTGAGTGGTTAAGTTGTCAGGATAACCACCTAAGGGTCCTGAATTCGAACCGTACCACAGCTGTCCATTTTCCCACTAACCATATTCCCCTAGGCAGCCTATGCATGGCCGCGGTCCCTTAGAGAAAATTTACTCTGCATTTCTATAATCAATTATTATTATTATTACTTCTATTACTGGTTTCTATTAATCTTGATATACAATTACCGTGAGAAGCTTAACATGTTGGACGTATGCGTCTGAAATAGACATTTGTTTGTGTAATTAAACTCGCCAACAAACGTAATGTAACCCAGTAGATTTTTTGAATTATTTCCGCCCTCATGTGCACGGTCATCACAATTTTTTGACAGTTTGGATGAAATCCGAATGAAAAGCAGAAATGCAAAATTTTCTGTATGTGGTGGCACGTGCACGAAGGAGCAATGGTATCGAACAGTCATTCTGAAGCCGTTTTTCTGGCATGATTTTTCCGCAGTCCATAACTCATATCTAACACACTATGGTGTCTTTTGTTTTTCGCCATCTAATTCTGTGGTCTGAGTGCAGCCCGTGTTGGAAATTAACAGAGGAAATTCGGGTTATTCCTACCTGAATATTGTACCAAAAATCCAGAACTTACATGACAAAACACGAATTAGAGACGTCGCTGAATAGGGAGAGGAAGTATATGGATACGGACATGATTCAAATTCCTACATAGACTATTAAATGGCTTCAACGAGTAAAGTCCTTTGGGGAGTGCAATAATTTTGAGGCGTCGAAAACTATATTTTCGATATATTTTCTCTAAAACCACGAACCGCGGCGATGTTTACCCCTCCCTTAAAGGAAAGCCAGATGCCATGGCGGTGCCACATTTGTCCAAGGTTGACAAAAACTACCCTAGCTTTCGCTATTCGTGATATGATCTCTTACAAACACCACCTCCAGTTATGATCAAGCTCCCGAGGTACTTATTGCTCTTTACTATTTCTATCTGATCACGAGAAAGAGAAAATGACGGCATAGGCTGTTGCCAGTCTTTAACAGGCAGTTTGCACTTGGATGGCGCAAAGCACATACTATACCTAGATAACACTATCGCCCAGCGGTGTAAAGCATGTTGGAACTCCTGTGTATTGTCACCCAAAAGGGCGATGTCATCGGCAGAATCTAAATAAACAGCTCTGTTCCCTGGGAAGAGTTCGACTCCACCGGTTGCTAGACCGGAAAAAGGAACATTCTGTAGGACGTCAACTATCGCTGTGATGAAGAGCAATAGAAATACAGGGCAGCTTTGCCGCACTCCATGGGAGATGGCAAAGGGTGGGGAAAACGGGTCATAGACCCCGACCCGACCTGAGATATGATGACACAGGTCTTTGACGATCGACCCTTATTTCTCCAATGCACTGATTATAAATAAACAGTCCCGTAGTGTAATCCTATCGATAGATTCCAAGGCCCGCGAATGTCTAACGTCCTTGGCTTCTGATAGCCTGGACGCTACTCTGGCACCTGTTTAAGGGTGGAGATTTGATCGATTTATCCACGACCTGCGTGAAATTCAGCTTGCTCCTAGCGTATCTGTTTGTACAATCTACGAAGATTGACTGGTGCTAACAACTTTGACGCTATTTGGATAATGCTTCCGGTAATTCATGTAAATACCATGCAGGCTCTTCATAAAGATGGAAAAACCTCACTTCTCCCCTCCCGCGATAGGGTGACTTCTCTATCGGGCTTTATTCCGCCTTCTTTAAATAGAGCTTTGTTATGTCCCAGGGCTTAAATCTCATTGTGGATGTCCACCTTATAAGGTGGGTCTATCGAGAAAACCACGGGGCGTGTGCCAAAATAGTTGCGGGAGAAACTGACGCCGGAGACCAGTTAAACTGTGTCCCAAGTACTCCACCCAGCTTGTTCGACACCGGTGGAAATTGATTGGCGTGTTTTAGGAAGATACAAAAACTTAGCGGGATTACAGGTTATCTCTTGAAGGCGTGTTAAACTACAACTTCCTAAGCCAGCAGAATGCGCAGTATTCTTGATAAGGGGCCAGTGCCGAACAGGTGGAGTTGGTTCTAGGTTTTCAGTTAGCACATTTTGAAAGATTTTATATATGCTGGTTGTGATAACTTATCGCAGTCTAACTGTTGATACGTATTGAGCTTTGAAAACCTACGGGAGTACATGGACAGCTGGTCTAAACTAATGCCTGGTCGGATTCGAGGGGAGTGCTCCAGTACAATCAACAGTCCTGTATGTAACTCCATCCTTTGAAGCTTATAGCAATGTGGTCGATCTGCGTTTGTCGCCGACCCGATGAAAGCGGACGCCAAGCGCTGTATCGGCTATTAAATTGTATGAATGTCGTACTGGTGAGGAATAGATGGTGATCGGAATAGAGGAAAAAGTCCTTCCATGGTTTCCCGTGATAGGAATCTGGCCCAAAAGGGTCTCCTGGATGCGCCTCTTGTGAAGACAGCTGACCTACTCTAGCATTTATATTTCTTGCTAAGATTACGATATGAGCTCGACTCGCCTTTTTAACGTAAAGTCGCGTAGGTTTTGCTGGAAGATATTTCGGACTGTAGCTGATCTACAAACAAGTTTATTCTTTCGGAGAAACAACTGCTCACTCTGCGCAGAACTCCAAGTCCCACTAAGCACAAAACACTGTTGATCAGGATCCAGTCTAACAGCCAGGGTTCCGCTCTCGCTGTGAGATGCACGACAACGCCGGAGAGACCAGAAGCCGCAGTCTCAGGGCTAGGGGAAAGGTGTAAGGAAATTTCGCAATACGGTTTGATGGGCGCGTCAATCATCTGGGGGAGTTGGAGTCATGAATGTGAGTCTTTTGGACACATCACATATCAATGGCTAGGGTACCGAGGGTACAAGCTAAGCATGTCTGTTTTACTATGAGCATGAGAGTAAGCACGTTGAATGTGGCTAGTTTAAAACGGCATCGAAGTAAAAGAAGAGCTTCGACTAATGAAAAAGGATCCGGTGAGACTTGGACGCCAGTTGGTTTAGTATCCGAGAGAATAGGGGCAGGATTTACATCCGAGGCACTGCTGTTAGTACTATTGTTTAAAGACTCCAATGAAGTTGAATATGTGCGAGGAAATGAACGTGAAATAGAAGAAAGTAAAAGAAGTAAGTAGGTATGCACGGTGTAGAATGATTTAGAGAAATGGAGGAATGACTTGAGTATGGATTCACTGAAAAGGGAATGTTAAGGGTTGTATAAGTTGTGGGCTGTTGTCGGTTGCGCACCCCAAAGAAGGTCTTAATCAAGAGTACACTCTAACCTGCGCGTAACCATGCGCAAACTCCAAGGCTGCAGCATTGTTCCAAATGAGCTGGTACGGGTTGGTTGATTCATTTGCCTATTCTGAAGAGCAGTGTTAGGTAAATGGAATTCTACAAGGGGAAGTGGTCACGTTCACTGACGCTACATCACAACACTGTCAAAAGATGCACGTGGTGTTTAGTACGGAGAAACCTTGCCAAGTGGCAAATCCACCACATCCTTAAGGACTGCCGCTGATCATCCGCGACCACTTATCTATACCTTTTTCAGTTTAAGATGTCCGAAATCCAATTTAAATGTNCACAGTACAAAGTGAAAACATAGCAACATGACATCTTAAATTGTTACTCGGACATCTTAAATTCATATTGTGACATTTAAATTGGATTTCGGACATCTTAAACTGAAAAAGGTATAGTGTAGCTAAACCGATCTTATTCTCGGTTAAACCCCAGTTAGTGGTCGTTTCCCTATCCGCTATCAGCGGACGCCCTTGTTGACAAAGAGCTCTTCTCTTTCGAGATGACAAGGCATACTNCATACTCAGATTGTACTGGGAATCAGTACACAATATTACTACGGTATAATACAGTGCAGTTGCTTCATCGTTCCACGTCATCTTGTCCCTCTTACCTGTGACTTTACAGAGCTAAAGTCCCCTCTGACCACCTCTGTGTTTTAATTGGATAAGTTCCCGCGATTTGCTCAAATTGTAATTCCTTAACATGACAGGAGACACTCTGATCACCGGTTGGTAATCTTTGAGATTCCGTTTGTAGAATCCCGTGGAAGATTCTGCAATGTGGATTTCACAGCAACAATCTGTCCCAAAGATCGAGTGACTAGGAAATCGCGAAGTCAACAGAAGGCAAGATTGCCTTTAAATGC